AAGTAATCATTCGATAACCCTCTGATTTTTTCTCTTCTTCTTTAATGTCTTTTTTCTTTCAATCCTTTAACTGAACTGGTTTTGATCAATCTTTCTTCTGTTTACAGGTTCGAGTTATTTGGGTTTTGTCTTCAACGCCACGGATTGATTTCCCATCAGAGGACTAGAAGAGGTCGCCGGCTGCCGGCAGCAACACTATCTGAGAATGAGCGGGTTCTGGTGCTTGAAAGGGGCGGTGTTCCGTACGGAAAGCCTAATTTGATGACCCAATTAGCCTTCCTCACCACTCTCATGGAGGTGCTTTCGACTCCCCGGCGCAAGCTTGAACCTTCGAAGATGGCGTTCCCAATGCCCGAGGCCAAGTTCTTGACGGCAGTAGTGCTATCAATGTCGGGTTCTATAATCGAGCCGATCAATAATTCTACAGAAGGTCAGGTTAGGGGTGAATTAGGACCTCTGAGTGGTGAACCAGTCCTATGAGTGGGTTGAGAGGGCTATCTTAGGTTAGGTTGGAGCTCAAGAATTGGCAATTGGCAGTCAGAGACGGGCTATTGTAAGCCGATGTTGATCCCTATAATGGTTTGACTTTGGATCATTCAGTGGGTACCAAGGCTGGTAGTTCGACATTCGATAGTTCCAGTTGTAGACACAGTGTTGCTGATCTCCTCAGCTATGTGAAAGCTTTGAATTTGAGAGTGCAGTCTATGCAAGCTATGCAAGTGTTCAAAGAATTCTTTTAGCCTCTTCTTCGTAGATCGAAGCAATTGGCAATTGGGGTTGTTTTTTTGCGACCAAAGAAAGAGGGCCATGCAATGGTGCAAAGGGAGAGGATCACCTCTGTGCTGGGGCTCTTGGAAGCCCACAACTTCCGCTTCTGAGTGGCATTGGACCAAGGTCGTCCCTTTCATCGTGGGGAATTCCTCTGTCTCATCACTTGCCTTATGTCAGACAGTTCCTTTATGAGAACCCCCGAAATGGCATCTCAATTGTGCCCCCAGTGCCATTGGAGCACTCTCTGATACAAGTCATGGGCATAACCAATTCAGGGACAGGGGCTTACCTTGAAGAAACTTCCAATGTCATACCTTTTGTCTCCCCGACTCACTCTCTTTTCATTCGGAACCCAGCTTCACCACTCTATCTCACTGTGGCTACCCTGATGGAGAAGATTACTGGGCCACTCTCTGTTCACTCCGGTTGCCATCTACAGATGTCAGGGTTAACCCAATTGTACGGTTCAACTACTTTAGTAATCCGGGTGATGTATGTGGAGCGGTGTGTGAATGGAACTTGCAAGATCGGTGATGTATTGAGGAGCCGTTCCATGGAGGGTTTTCAATTCAGTGAATGGTTTGTTTGGGGGCCGAGATTGAAGATAGGTGGGGCCTGCATTGCCCGTTGATCAATCAAATGATCGGCTGATGGGAGAGTTTTGCCCGCAGTGAGTACTATATGGCACTACCATGGTGGATGCCTAGTGGGCAAGGTAGTTGATCACAATTTCAGGGTTATTGGGATTGATGCTTTCCGAGTTGTTGATGGTTTGATATTCACTGTATCACCAGGGACCAATCCCCAGTCCCCTCAACTTTTGATGCTTGGATGGTTAGTGTCTTTGTTGTTATCTGAATGCTTGAGTCTTTTTGTTGGTTTGTTAGAGTTGACTACTTACCCTGTTGTGCCAAAAGGATCTATAAGCGGACTTTGCTGCAAATCTGCTAGCCATTTCCTCTTCTGCTTCTGTTTTTGGGTTTTTTCTCCTTTCCCCTTGTGAACACAATCAAATCCGAACAAATAAGAAATTGGTGATTCTCAAATTAAGAAAAAATATTGAGAAGACCCTCTCGGGTTTCTCTTTCATTTGCCAGTTCCAAATCCGCATTGTCAGTCAACTGCTGCACCATTTTTCTTACAGGATGCCAAGTTAAAGAAGATAAGGCGAGTGAATAAGGTAGAAACCCAATAAAACATTTATGCTCGTGACCGGACCGGAAAAAGATGTGGGAGCAATGGCACTCAATCAAAACCCCTCTCTTTCCCTTTCTCTAAATTACTTGGTATTTTTTTCTTCTTCGCCCTTCCCTGTCCAGCTCAAGCTGATTAAAAAAAATAGATTTGTTTCGGAAAGCGTTCCACCCCTCAGTCTTGGAAATTTTGGCAGGACTTTCCCTGCCCTACTGGGGATTCCAGTCACGAATCCAAAACTTCTCGCTCCCACCGGCCGGCTGTTCCCTTTGGCTACTCTAAAAAAGGTACTGACGCTTCACACCCCATCTCAATAAAAATCAGGAAACTTATTGCAACTACATCAAAAATCGAGAAAAAAAGACGTGAACGGCCCCTTTCTTGGAACTAATTCATAGGGGGGCAACGTGTGATATATAAAAATATAGAAGAAGAAAAGATATGCAGCATCCACTTGGTGCTCATAATATCTTTCTCGATGTGTTTTGTATAAGGGATTCTTTCTCGAAAGGGAGCTAGGCAGATTTAGATTGATCGAATCTACTGCCTAATTGGTTTAGCTTATCGATGTCCTTGAGTCCAATGAGGATAAAGAGGATGGCCCCCTGTTTAGCATTTTATAGGAGTGGATAACAGCGGGAAAAAGGATGAAGTATTAGCATTAGCGTGAGAGAGCAGAAAATGACACTAAACAAAACAGAAAGAGAAAGGCATAGTGTAGTTAAGGGGGACTCATCACGAGTATTTATTATTATACTCAACGCAAGCATCACTAAGGTCATAATATCTTTCTCCGGCAAAAGTCGAATAACAGAAGTATGAAAAAGAAAGGGGGACCCATGTGAAGCAGACCAGCAACCAGATATTACCAAAGGCAAGAACGGTCCGCACCAGTATGGGGGTAGGGTATTTAGGCTCCTCCCTCTCGTACGCCACCGGTTAGGTAAAAAACAAACTCAGGTTTGTGGGAGAGTGGCAAGAATCGGGTCAGATTTAGCCGGGACGTGCTAGCGGATTCGCCCTCGGGTCACAAGATTCCATTCTGATTTCTGAGCCTCAGAAGCTCGAAGCATCCCAGCTATGAAGATGAAGAGACACTCCTAGTTACCAAGTGGCCCGTTTGGTTGGTGATTCGTTCACCCGCTTGCTCGCTTCCAACACAAGCACTCTATCCTTTGTTCGCCCTCTACCACACGAACGGCTCCCCTAAAAAAAAGGGGCACTTAGATGCCCTAGGTGCATTAAAACCTTTTCTCCCTTATTATCAATCAAAGAGAAGGCAGCCGATGCGGCTTGATGTCTCAGACCATTACATTAAGGATAGAAAAAGGCAATCTAACAAGGGGCCAAGCGTACCTACCGTGAAGGAACAAGATGAGGCAGAAGTACTTGTCGCGCATACTAGTATTAGATAAAACGGTTCCAACTCCATGTATGACTTCGGTTAAAAAGGTAGACAGAGTAAACGTCCATACACCTCTGGTCATTCCCGGCCTTTCTATTAGAGTGAGAATGAGGGGGATACTGAAGATGTCCAGTCAACCAACGAGGGGAGGATGGGCCTCAGGGGGGATAAAACCATTCAACACTGACTCTTTTACGGGGAATGTAAACAAAGTTCCACTCCCAAACCTACCATCTCAAGTTCAAAGTAAACCATCTCCACAGCAAGACTCCTTCCACTCCAATTAGGCCAAAAAAATAGAGGTCGGACAGGAACCTCGCAAGGGCACCCAACAACATCAACATCAACTTCCCGTATTAGATCGTCTTCTTTAAAGTTACAGCCTAAGAAAGACCCCAACAAAACAAAACCAAATTGGAAAAGAACAACTAACGGGTAAGGAAGAGAGGAGAAGGGTGCCTGGGCCCTGAACCCAACCCGAAAACGAGCAGGGGATAACAGGAAGAGGCTAGGAATCGATCTGCCTCAGAGAGACGACTTGAGATTCCCATAAGGACAGGTAGCCGGAATCACGACAATTCAATCTCCATACTGTCAGACTGAAAAGGAAAAAACTCCAACTCAACTACATCCATTCCCACCCTATCCGTCTCTTTCTACCTCATTACACTAATTCGTAACTAAATTTGAAAGCCATATTTCGACCCGAACGTTTTCAGGATGCCCCTAATAACCAACGAATGGCAAGTGCTTTTCCTTGTGTAGATCCTATTTCAACGGGAACTTGATCAGTCGATCCGCCTACACGTCTTGCTTTTACTGCTATATCGGGAGTGACTCCGCGTATTGCTTGACGTAAAATAGTGAGTGGATTTCTTTCTGTCTTTTGTTGAATCTTTTTCATGGCTCAATAGAGAGATAAACCAATGATTTGTTTCCGTCTGAATAAGGTTAACCAAGATGTTAACTAATCGATTACAAGAAATTGGCTCTATCTGATTTAGCTGTTTTTTCTTCTGCAGTACCTCGACGTGAGATGAGCGTGCAAGGGGTTCTCAAGAATCAGTAGTTTTCCTTTCTTTTATAAGGGCTAAGAAAATCATTGATTTTGGCTTTTCTAGATCTCGAAAGATATAAAAGACCTCCCTCCAAGCCGTACATACTACTTTCCACAAAATTCTATATGTATCTATGAGATCGAGTATGAAATTATGTTTACTCACTTGAAATTGAGTATCTGTTTCCCTCCCTTTACTGCTAGGATTGGAGATCCTTTCTTTATTTTACATATCCATACGATTGAGTCCTTGGGTTTCCGAAATAGTGTCAAAAGAGGTGCTTCGAATCATTGCTAGTGGACTCAAACCTGTTCTAAGTCGAGGCATTTCTCATTCTTTGTTGACCCGGACAAAGTAAAGGAAAACCTCTTCAATTCTTCCAATATTGGACCTTATCTAATAGTTCCGAATCAAATCCCTTTAGAAAGAAGATCTTTTGTCTCACGGTAGCCTACCCCAGTCCCCTTAGTAAACTTTCGTTATTGAGTTAGCTATATACTTCTTTCAATCTTTGTAGCGATTCACATGGCATCATCAAATGATACAAGTCTTGGATAAGAATCTACAACGCACTAGAACGCCGTTGTTGACGATCCTTTCTTTACTCCGATAGCATCTATGGTCCCTCGAACAATGTGATATCTCACACCGGGTAAATCCTCCTTAACCCTTCGCCCTCTTACTAAGACTACAAAATGTTCTTGTTCATTATGGGCAATACCAGGTATATAAGCAGTGATTTCAAATCCAGAGGTTAATCGTACTCTGGCAACTTTACGTAAGGCAGAGTTTGGTTGAGGGTGTGATATTGGAAAAGCTGACAGATAAGTCACCCTTACTGCCTGCCACTCGACAGAGCCGTACATGAGATCCTCATACGGCTCCTCATTCAATTCTTTTGAAGTCATTGATCCTTTTCCTCGTTCGAGAAGTTATGCGGATGGCACTTGACAGACCAGCAAGACTCGCTTTGGCTTACTCCACTGAAAGGAAAAACTAAAGGAAAGAAGGGCATTCCTCCGATCTATGACAACAAGGGTTTGGACTCGAGCAAAGACTGGGCCTATTTGAACTTGAACAAAGACTGAGACTGCTAGTTCCACTATCTCATATGCTACTACCACTTAGAATGAGCATGTCACTACTTCTTACTAGGCTGCAAAAGGACTGACTTGGCTTAATATTAATAAGAGCGTATAAAAGCGTTTGTAAACAAAGAAAATAGAAAAAGCTGGAATGTCAAAGAAGAAGGAAGACATGGAAGAAGAAAGATAAGATAGAAGAAGGAAGAGCTTTTGCTACTAAAGATGAATCGATACCGGGCAGCTAGACTTGTGAATCAATCCTTCCCTCATTCGATCTTTGCCATTGGATCTTGAATGCTATTCTTTATCAGAAGCTTTGGACGGAGCAGGACCTCCTTAACAAAAGGAAAGAAGAGGAAGAAGAGACAACCCCGAACAGACAGAAGGAAAAAGCCACATCTTGCGACCCGCCCCAGCAAACAATCGATTTGGGAAAGAAGAAGAAAAACCTGTTAGAACAAACATCCTATTGCTTTTAGTCGTTCTACCAATGTGATAGTTGGACGCACTAGGTACAGATTTCCATGTAGGAGCAAAGACCAGACCTAGGTTAAGGGGTATTTGGCGAATGCCCGGGACATAGCGCTCAGTCTTCCGCCTGTGTCATAATAATATTACAGACACGAAGGACCTCTGTTGTGTTGCTAGGTGTCACTATGGTTTCCAAAGTTAATAGGGCACTCTTCCATCAACAACTAAAGCTATTTCTTACTGGTGTGGATTCTCCACAAGTACTAGAAAGGATGGGATTGTTCCACAAACTCCAATCAGTTAACTACCATCCATGAGCGGATACGAGAGAGTTGTCGGCCAACACGATGTAATTGAAAGATCGTCCACTCTTTCATCCGCGGATGCTACTTTTCGTACGGGAGGGAACCACTCAGACTGACTTCTTTGGATGGGATTCATGTTCATTAGTTTCGTTTTCCGGATCCATCTCCACCAACCAAACTAGCATTCCTCCATTCACTAGCAAAGAAAATAGCTAGGAGTCAAACCTGATGGTCCAAAAAAGCTACTTAAAGTCCTAATCGAAGAGCCAACCAACCAACTAGCTGATATCCTTAACTGCAAAAGAGCTCTGAGTGGTTAGCAAACTCTTTCTTTATTGGCCGGGGAGTCCCTATTCTATAGACTTCCAAAATCCACTGTCTAAGAAAAAGGCAAGTACTGCTACTCTACTTAGGTTGTTAAGGTCTCCCACTACCCACTAAGGAAGAAGATAGAATCCTACAGAAATTCAGGGATAAATGTCGGGTCTCTTTGTGAGCATGAAACCACGCTTTACTGTGATTGATAAATGACATAAACCTGTCCAACAAGTAAATAAGAACATTAGGTTCTCCATACACTCACGGAGCACTCACTTCAAACTAGTGACGAGATAGTGCGAAATTCAAACCAATGCAAGGGATGAAAATGCTCCAGTCAAAACGAAAGGCAAGATCCCGATTATCGATGCTCTACTAATAGACTCCCTCCTTTGAACATAGATCCGAACTCCCACTCAGAATGAATGGTTATTGGAAAAGGATTGGGTTGTCTTTCAAACATCAGATCTCGGGTACAAGCCAACGAGAAAGACTGCCATCTCAGGTATACCATCGACAGAGTAAGAAAAGGACAGTTCCTTTCTAGCGAGTCACTCCGTCTCCTTTCGGGGTAACCCCTTTATTGTGCTTATTTACAGGTAAGGGGAAAATGTTAGAAGTGAATCATGTTCGAGTGCTTCTGTCTTCGAGCCAGTACCCTTTCTAGACAAGGGATAAAGGATAAAGGAAGTCTCTGTTATTCAGTAGTAGTCCATGTCCCTTTTCAAGCAGCTAGTTTCTTGCCGTTCATATAGATCAATAGCTGATTCTAAGGCTAGACAGCAAATAAGCTAGTTTAGTTCCCTTACTGATCCTTGCCAGAACTGTTAGAAAAGGAGGATTCTTTCAAGTTCATTTTGATTCATATTCACATGGGACAATCTTTCGAGTCCTATCTCTACGGGACATGATATCCAGCTCTAGCTTTCCTTGTATAGGGTGTTACAAAATACATCTGAATCCGAGGAATTAATGCTCTTACTAAGACCTGAAGGAACTTTTGAAAGGCAACTAGTGAAGATGCGCCAATATCCATCCCTCTTTCTAGAATTATTGCTGAGACATGCTCTGAGAGGGTTAGCCTCGACTATCAAGATGGGATAAAAACACCTGTTTACTATTCCAAATGGGAAGATCTTGGGATTGCTTTTTGTTATATGAATTGGAATCTTCCCTCAAACAAGGAAGGAGGGCTGGTCGGTCAAAAGCGGGGTAGGCTACCAATACCAAGTCAGTCAATTCCGGTATTGTCTAAATTACAATGAAGCAAGAGAAAGCCTGGAAGAAAGTCCGTACTATTACTACACTGGGTGACAGGAGCTCGGGATAAGCTGTTATTGTTTCATAAGCAAATGTGGCAACCTGCTGGTATAGTGAGCTCTCTCTCTCTGGATTAAGCTTCGATAATTTAATAGAGAGGAAAGGAATCACCTAGCCTAGCATTAGACTCGACTAGCCTTGGGCAGATTGCTTTGAATAGCGTAGTTTTCTTAGCTTCGGGGACTGCCTTATCTACACTATGAGAAAATGTTAGATGCAACCATTATAGTATAGATATATTCTTAGATAATTACTATATGCTCTTTCATACACTCTTCAAAAATACAGATATCTGAACCATAGGAGACTAGCTTGAACTAAATCCTCCAACCTTAAAGAAATATGAGAGAGGACGGATACCAGAAAGAATCACCTCGGAGCTGCCAAAATTTGAGTCAATTCAGTAAGATTCTACTTTCGCTATAGTTTCACTAACGAAACAAAAAAAAAAAAAGAAGAATACTTACGAGGATGTAGGAATTCCATTTCAGTTAGTTCTGTGATTGGCATTGGAGAAAGAAAATAGAGGTAAGGAATTCGCCAACAGGAAAGATAAAGCACATTCTCTTATATACGGCTATTCTTTTGACTTTTTGACTTTTCCTCCTGTTGTTGCAAAAATCAAAGTCCCTTTTGCCGCATTTTGCTTTGTAGAGGTCTTCACTATATAGGGAAGCTGATTGAAATAAAAAGCAATTTTCCTCTCCCTAATTGAACGAGGTAAAGCTGCTTCGCTCATTTCTTGTTGAGAATCTTATGTCTATAGGCTTTCAAAAACTCGTTTACTTTAACCCGGGTAAGGTTCTTCAAATAGCTGATTCTTTCTTGTTCACTGTACTGATAAGAACAATGAAAAGCAAAGGCTACAAGGATGGATTTTGATTAAAGAGAAGTTAGTAGGGAAAGTAAGTGGAAAGGTTCTTTTTCTTGTCCATTCCTCGCTTGTTGCTTTAAGGGTTCGACAATGAATTTCTTCTTCCAGCGTTTCAGGGGAGCCCTAAGAAGACATGATCCCAAGCGAGCTAATTGATGTGACCATACCTCAAACTAGGATTTTGCGGGGTCTTCCTCGGATTAGTTCTATAGAGGTTTCGACCTCTTTTAGGTTTTCGAGGGTCTTTTTGAGGAGCTCTTTCACCCTGTAATATACAGCCTCAGAATTGACTCCCCTTCTTTTGATAGCATCATGTCATCAGCATACCGAACGTAGCCTACACCCTCTTCTATTTGCATAAAGGAATTGATTTTCATATCGAGTTAGTGCAAAAAGATGTGAATTAGCATGGGGGAGAGGAGCGAAGCTGCGAGACACACAATCACCTTGTTTACAGTTTGAGAATAAATAGGTGAAGGAGAAAGAAAGAAAGAATAAATATGCTTTACCTCCTGAAATCAGGGAAGGGGGGAATATCGAAAAAGAAAAGGTGAAGGATTGAATATGCTCGACTGTAAAGGTGAAGGAGCAAAGCCACTTTACCGAGTTGGAGAGGTGAAGGAGCTGCGGTATGCCTTTCGTTAGTTTTCCAAATTTGTCAAAGTTTTGTCTCTTATTACTGTTCGTAAGAACACTAAAATCAGATCAAGGAAGGCACGGTTCTCCTCACCTAAATCAGATTGAAGAACTGAGATGTTGAGCCCATGATCTATGTTATCAAAACACTTTACAATATCTGACTTAATGAGTTTCTCAACCAGACCCCAGCGCTGGACTTCAAGGAAGAAAGTAATAGGACCTCGACCTTTCCTAAACCAGCCTTTTACCCTAAAGAAGATTTCCAACTAACTGGAGCAAAAAAATCTCTTCAAAGACAATATTCAATAACTGAGAAAGCACATCCAAACCAATGGTATCAGCCTTGTTTGTTGGGTTGGGTACGCATCCAAACCAATGGTATCAGCCTTGTTTGTTGGGCTGGGTAATGGCTCGCAGCTCACTAGGTTTGTTTGGTTTGGGAATCCATGAGCGGTACATCGAGGAAAATTGAAAGGTAGAGTGAAAGAGTGCCCTTTTTCATTTTTTGCAATGACCCTTGGGTCGTTAGCTCCTTATAAATGGACTCCGTCTCCCAAAGA